TAAAGAATACCTTGAAGAGATCTTAATGGAATGGCTACATACGGTGAAGTAGAAAATACTTTGAAGATATCTTGATGGAATGGTAGCAAAGTCCGACACTGCTCGCTCACTCTTGAGCTCATTCCATAGGTACCCATCACTTGGGGAAAGTATATGTACTATGTTCTCAGTTTCAAGTAGCTCTCTCTCCCCACAAGATATACAACCACCTACTCCAGTTGCTTTGAAATACTACTACTACTGCGTCTATTCCAGCCCATTCTGAACTCATTTACTTTGAACTACAATCGCTCAAAGTTACAGACGCGGACACCATATTATGGAGGATATAACGATGAACCAACAGCGCTCACCATTCTTACGTCTACCTGGGGAACTACGAAACGCCGTGTACACGTACATCTTCGGCATCAACGACATAGTAGTCGTTCGGCGACATCTACACAGCATCCATCCACATCAACCCACCATCGGTCAATGTATCCATGTCCTTGGGATCTGTCGCCAAATCCGGGCCGAAGCCGCACCATTTCTCTATTCCAAATCCAAGATATTAGTAGACGAGGTTGCGGATGTGAAAAGGCTCGCAACTCTCTCTGGTCACGAAGCCATAGTGCATATCATCATCCCTTGGAGAACGGCTTGGACGTTGGTGTTGATGAACAACAGATCTTCCGGACTTGCGGATTTGGGGTCGCAGCGCAATGCTATGTTTCATTCGTTCAAGGGGCTTAGGAAAGTGTCGATTACGCCCCAGTACCACGAGGTAGATTCGAGGGACGTGTTCCTGGCTATACGAGAGCCATTCAATGATCATGAGCTAGAAGTTGTTTGGTGGCAGGGGTCGACACACTGAGATGGATACGAGGGGGATTGAAGTGTGAGATTGAAGTATTTGAGTGATGCGCGGAGGTATACGACACATTGTATTGTATTCCAATAACCGAATGCTGTGGTCGCTCTTTCACTCACCTTCATCCAATCAGTTGGTCCAAGCTCGTCGGCTAGCGTGTTGAAGACCTTTCGATAACCTTTCAGCATCAGCTCTCACACTACCTTGCTTACGATACTCGCATTCAGTACACTCTTATATCGACAACGATGGAACGCGAAGCCATGTAAGCGATACTCCGCAACTATTGGAAGCAAAATCACTGACAGGACTACTAGCACTGCCAATAACCAGATGCAATCTCGCCTCCTCTGGCTTCCCGGCGAGATTCGAAACCGCATCTACAAGTTTGTGTTTATTGGGGAGAACACTACCCGGAATGACCTTCTCGAGACATGCAAGCAGATCAGGCACGAGGCTGGACCAATCTACTACTCTCACGTCACTCTTTCCTTCTTCGATTTCGCGGATATAAAGAACAGGGTGAAGAGAACAAACCCACAACTACTGTCGCGAGTGAGGTCGATCCGCACAAGCGCCAGACCAACGCAGGAAATGGCGTGGAGTATTTTCCTATCCACTAAATCACGGAGCAGCTACGTCAAACACGCGAGTTATTTACCGGAATTAAGATACTGGCACGTATACAGTTACGTCTACGGAGGAAAGAATCAGCAACATGTGGTGAAAGCGATTCATCAATTGATGGGTCGCGATGTGGAGGTCACGTTTGATACCTAGGTACCACGGAATAACTTCCAAGGGTTGTTCGGGTTGCACGGCTCTTTCGTGTTCTTCTATATGACCGTTCCGCTGTAGAAGGCCTGGCGGGGTATCATAGCCCGAAATAGCGGAGTGAGTGCGGAGGGCAGGCGAGGTAGCCACGTGCACTAGCGCCACCTTATACCATAGGTAACAACCACCCGGTCACACTTGACAATCTCTTTCTCTTTCCCACTCCAGTCACAACAAACAAACTCTCCGCCTGATTTCATTACTGCGCAAACTCATTCGTGAAGCGACAATGGATTTCGACAGCATGTAAGAGACAGCGACAGTAAAGTGTCGACTGCAAACTGACAAATTACAACAGCACCGCTGCGAACCAGCGCAACTCACCTCTTCTGCGCCTCCCGGCTGAGATACGAAACAAGATATATCTCTACGCCTTCGATGACAACAACGTATATCTCGCTCCGAATGTTATCCAACGCGACCTCCTAAGCCCCAAGATCTGGCCTTACCCGATGAGCTTAGCGCAAACCTGCACTCAGTGCCGTCACGAAGCCCTTCCCTACTTCTGGAAGAACACCATCTTCCACCTGATATACAAGAGGATGCACCATCTTGTACGCGATACGAGCCAGAGTATGCGTGATCAGATTGAGGTTGTCCGCCCCAGTTATGGTGTTTCTTGGGATCTCCAGAAAACCTCGCGTTGTTACGAAGGGGCGTTTGGTAGGGTACAGAAGGTCATCATAGTACATAGGCGGCCTCCGTGGCCCACGAGAATGATAAAAAGGACGTTAATTGAGGCCGTGAAGGAGAATTATGGGAGAGACGCTGAACTTTATGACGTTCACGGCAAACGCTATGTGGAGAACTGAGCACGGAAGCGCAGGAAAGACCTCTATCAGGCTCTTTCTAGATATTAAAGAGGTGCATCTAAGGGCTGACTATGCCCTCACGAGCTAAAAGTACATCTCATCACGCCGACTCAACATCAACAGTATACGTCCTATCATGATAAATCCTCTTATCGTTCATCGGCGCCGTGCTCTTATCCGACGCGCCATCGTGTATCCTCTCCCAAGCATCCTGATCGCGCCCATGATGCACAGCCGACAAGCTGAAGCCATGATCCGAGGGGCCATGGTAGCTGTCTCCTCCTCTTTGTCTGCGCGAGCGGCCGCCTGCGGTGATGGTCGTTGCGACGCGATGCTTGCTGTTTGGATCGGTGCTGTTGTCGCGTTCGTTCTGGAAGTAGTGGCGCAGCGCTGGGAGGGAGGAGGCGAAGCAGCCGATGCCTGTTTCGACGTTCGAGCAGAGGACGATGTGGGCGACCCAGAAGGGGAGGTTGGTTTGGGACTCGAATTTGTTGACGAAGGGGATGCGTATCATTGTGATGATTGATGCGCTGGTGTTGTCAGTGATCGCTCGTGCTGCTTTGGTGACTGAGGACTTACAGTGAGGCGAAGGATAGCAGCCCAAATGCTTGGAGCTTCGATTGTCTCTTCATTTGCGTATTCCATAGGATGATAGCCGGCACAACGACTAGGGCCATGTCGGTCAAGATTGTCGACACTGTCGCAGTGTGCGCGATGATGAGGAAGGTCTCCGCAGAAGCGCATTCTCCGTCCCCACTCATGATCAATGTCGGAGTCCCTGTAGATATTAGTTAGTCTTGTTCGACCCGTACATTGCAAACCTGGGATACTAACACAAAGCGCGCACCGGCTGGCAGTAAGCCAGCGTTCCAACAAAGGTAACGAGGAAAGAAGCCCACGTGACAGCGAGGAGAACCCAAACGGTAATTCTCATAGGCTTCTTGATCGATGCAATTCGCCTGATCGTGATGCACACGGAGGACTTGACAGTCGCAAGTGCAACAACGTATACCAAGATCCAGATGAGGTAGTACTTGATGGCTTCGGACTGCTGCCACGCATTGAGATCCTCGTTCATTCTACCGAGACCAGCGAGACAGCCGTAGATTGCCAGACCCGTAACGGGGATGTATGCGATCTTTGATGTTACGTTAGTATAGCACTGGTCAAATACCAGTAGTGATAACGTACCGTGCCAACAACCATGAACCCATCCTCCAAGCCGAATATCCTTTTCTTGATTCGAATATAAGTCCGCAACGCTACGGTAACGATAGAAAGGGCGAAGAAGATGGACGAGATGACGATGATAGCAAGCGGTAGACCATCTGGTGCAATCAGCCTCGCAGAAGGATCGACATCGTTCACGGGCGCCGCCATTGTGGGTTCAAGACGAATATGATCAGCAAAGCCCCAGAAAGAGTATGTGCCCACATCTCGAGGAACCTGCTATTACTTTATACGACTCCGCCGACATTGACCGCACCAGCTCACGCCCAGTTGAAGTGGATCATAACAAATAACCACCAAGGCCTTCGACTCACGCTGATGCACCCGTTCCTCTTTCGCGCCGTTACCATCATCACATTCCCTGCCCGGAAACGGTTGTGACAGCCGCGAACTCGACTCGCTGCAGGGTCTGGTGCGTCATCTTCGCACCGTGCCCAGGTGTAGCGGGAGGAAACATGCAGCCGTTCGGACCAAGACAACGAAAATCTTGCTAGAAAGGAGAGCTACGCGTGCTATGTAAGTAATCTGACACGTTTTGTATCCATACAGCGACGCCATGGCGATGGTACCGAAAAACTAGCGGAGCGATCTCCCGCGCCGGCGATCAGGATGCCGGGTCTAGATGGTGGCTAGTGACCGCTAGTCGTGTCTCGAGACGGGAACCTGACTTTCCAGGTCGAATCGAGAGGTTGAAGAGCAGGTGAACCGAGGGGAAGGTCCATTTTTCTGGATGTTGGTTTCGATCGTGGGTTCGGGGCGAGGAGTTGTTACGATGAAAGTCCACTTCATGGACGGAAGAAACCGAGCAGAAGCGCTACAGTCTACATTAGTATTAAACCAATGTTTCGATGATTCTCCGGCAACGTAGATATTTTGACCCAAGAATGCAAGTCTATCAGCCTAGAGTCACTGCTTCTATTGACGGCATGAAATACAGCCAGTGATGAGGTCATGGTTGTACATTGTCCTGTGATCAACCACTTGCGCGCGTATTGGTTCTCATTTACTTCCTTGTCGTATGGTAGTGATACATCTGAGTATCTCTAGTCTCTGACAGGGTTCGATCGCTTGACCCCAGAATGTGGCAGCTAGAACGCATCCATACCATGCCATGGAATGAAGCTTGTGTGGTGATGCTCACTGAGCGCTCATCCAATCATCGTATTTGTTGGAATCTGAATATTGAGGTGGCTGGAACCAGCCACCCTGAGGGTGTATAGGGGCGTTCCGCCCACTTGTCAGTAATTTATCAATCTTCATCTCATCCCATTTCAATAGTATGGAGTCCGGTTTGGCTCTATGCACTCCACCTCGATGCCCATGGCGCGGATACAGCGCAGTGCAGCCTCCACTTCTTCATCCGGCAAGTAATACACCAGACGGACTTTGCTTAACAGCGGAAAATTTGCCAGTGTGTTTGAGATCGGCACGGTGAAGTTGTACTGCTCTTGGTACAATATTCCCTGATCGACAACGAGGGACGTGATGCGAGCGCAGTTCGACGATCCCACAGCAGGTTCGAGTTCCCGTCGTGGAAATACAGAGGCAGCGTCGATAGTGCATTCGTTCCAGAATATGGTCGTAGCTTCGTGGCGAATCTGCTGACAGGTCGCGAGTACGTGAAGTGGGCTGTTGTTCCGGCGGTATATCAGGCCGCGTCTGTGAGGGTCTTTCACAATCATCTTGCAGTCGAAGAACGTGTACTCGTAAATGCGGTTGCGAATCTCTCCAGGAAGACGCAAGAGAGGCGAGTTGAGCTGGTTGCTGCGCGTGCTGACGTTGTTAGTAAAGATACATCCACGGGTCTTGCCTACTTACATCTCATTGGCGTCGCTGGGCGCGGATAGGCTCGCAAAGTCCTTCACGTCGGTGGCCATGTTGCGCTTGTAGAGGCTGGTCGCCGCCGTCGTGATGTTGAGGTGAGTCGACTGCGTGGAGTGAGAAAAGAGGTGAGAAGAGTAAACAAAGTATCAAGCAAATACCCTTTTGGTACTAGCTCGACGCTAGCCACCACGAACTTAGCAGGTGCCTCTCACCACTGCAGAAAGAGGCGATGGAGCTGTTGACATATTACTGGTAGACTCGTCTCAGTCTATGAGAAGGGCAGCGCCGTATGTAAGAGTCATGGTGTACGAAGTGAGTGAATGGTCACATCAAAGCACCAAACCAACAGCGACAACAACATACAAATATAACGTTCATTGATATGGAGAATCCGTAATCGTACTCCGCTAATGCTACATCCCATCCCATCGCTGAACATAATAGTAACAAATCAGTCTTGTTGAACATTCTATTACAACGTATAGTGTTGCCGCAGCGCCGTGAGCATGAAAGTGGTATCGTGAAAAGAGCAAAGAAGCCAGTTACGCCGAATGTAGATTGTCGTTCAGATGAAGCCTTTTGAACGCCTGGAAACCCGATGATAGGAAGAAGAACAAGGAAGAGGAGATGCTGTACGTGTTGGTGTGGGGTGTTATTGCGGAAGCGACTGATGACAGCCATGCGCCTCCTGCCCCTTATCCAGTTTCTCACCCGTCCGCATACTCGTAGGAACAGAAGCGTCTTTCTCAGCATTCGAAGTCACTTGTCGCGACTGCGAAACCTGATTCGCCATCACACTCCCATCAGCAGAAGCCGAGCGCTGCGACCCATCCTCTTGAACATAAGCAATCGGCCCCCAAATGCGCCAATGAAGCAGTATAATATGCGTAACCCGATTAGCGAGATCCGTCAACTTCGCCGTCTCAGGATGTAAATGCGCAAAAGCAAACGTATCGGCGATGTTAGGTCGAGACAATGACGGAAGAGGCGGCATGGAAGGAGATACAGAGACGAGGGCGTTAAAGAGTTCGATGGGCGAGGATGTGCTGTGGCGGTCGACGTTGGCGAGGATCTGGGGGAGGAGGGAAGCTTCGAGGCGGGATGCGTGCCAGGAAGATCTGCGCACGAATAGGGTGCGGAGGTGTTGGTTGGCTTCGGCCATGTGGTCGAAACTGCAGGAGGGGGTTTGGCCGGCGAGGTGCGAGGCCTGGCGGAGGATTTCTAGGGAGAGGGCTTCGGAGTTGAGCATCCATTGTTGGGGGCCGTGGCCGACGGCCTCGCCCATGATGGCGGAGAGGGCGGTGCGGAGTTGTTGGCCGATGGCAAGGGTCATGGAGCCTTGGTAGCCGAGCTGTCGGGCGAGTTGTGTGTACATCTCCATGCAGACCTCAAACATGACGAGATCGTCAACCTCAGCTTTGAGCGATGCTAGGCGATCATGGTCCAGGAAGAAGGTATCCGGGAAGTCGCTCCGCCCGTCTCGGCCGAATGTGATCGCTGTTACCGCGCGAGTGAAGACCTCTAGCTCGAAACATGGGCCAGCTCGGGGTCGTGGCGAGCACTGAGGACCGAATTCATCAACGGCGTCTGTGAACCAGATTTGTGCCGTGTTAATGTTGACTCTTGCCCTACCGTGGACAAGTCTGTCGAGATGGTAGTGCTTCTCAAAGTTGACGCTGTCCTCAATCAGGAGCGTCTTCAGATTCCGGATCTGGTGGTTCGCGACGTCCTACATGGGTTAGCTTGAGGACATATCACTTTCATCAGGTGACTTACGAGTTTCATGGCCTCCAGAATGCCGAACAGCTTCCTCAGACCTTCTACGATCTTTTCGAGGTTGCGGTCTGCCTCACCCAGTCTTGTGCAAGTGACCATCTCGTCGACTAGGATATCGCGCATCGGCGCGCAGTGCTCCTTGAGTAATTGCGCCATCCACTCCGACAACCGCCCCAGATCACACACTCCTCGCTCGATAGCTTGCATCAGCATGGGTACGTCGAGATGCTCGTCCACTCTGGAATGGTCGCGATCGGGAACCAGGCTCTTAAGAACATCGCGGACGTTCTGGAACAAAATCGGTATCCGCCGTTGCGCATATGGTGTAAAAGCTTCGACTTGGATCGGTGAAAGTGGTGGTGTGCCGTGGAACATGCGGTTGTATAGTACCAGTTCTGCGATCAACGCTCCCCAGTACTTGTCTGCTACTCTCTCCTTCTCTTGTCCCTTGACGCCATCGACGTTTGGTCTGAAGCTGAGGTCTCTGTCGAAGTTGACGTCATGCCGTAACTTGATGTTGGTGATGATGCTCTGAATGTCCAGCTCGCTCAACGACTGCTTGGTGACTGGCGGAAGATCTAATGCTTCGAGGAAGTTCTCTGCCAGCTCCTCGCCTGACTGCTCCACCCCTGTCTCTCCAGGCATCATAACTCGTAGATATCCTGCGAGCTCTTCTGGGATGGTAGAGTGATAAAGTGATAAGGTTCGTGCTGGACTTCCATCTCTTGATCTAACCTCGACAACCGCATGCCGTGGTCCTGACGCGGTCTCTTCCATCTGTCCATCCAAGCACGTCGTAGAGCTGTGCCATGACGTGGAAGCGCTTCTGTCGTCGACGTCCATGGCGGACCGTGAAGCAAAGCCAGGTCCGAAAGAGGAAGCTGTGTTGACAGGCTTGGTCGGCTGGGAACGCATCTCCTTCCGCCGACGGATGCTCCCGCAGTTCTGCTGCATGGTGGGCCGGGTTCTCATAAGATGACGTAGGTAGGGTGTACGACGGCGGTTGAAAGCGGGAAGGTGTCGAGCGCGCGAGTGTGCGTAATGGCGACGATGAAGCCTGGGGAAGCGAAGGCTCAAGAAAAGCGCATGGGGTTGCTACAAGCGCCAACTACCACTCGTTAGCTTACAAACTATCCAAGACAGAGCGGTTTGTAAGACACAAGCCAGAAACGTGTTCATAGGCTGTTTGACGCAGCGACGGGTGGCCGCTGGAACGAACGAGATAGCTCCCGAGTCAGACAAGCACGAAGACGCGGGATCGTGCTTAGCAAGTCGTACCTTTTTGCATGTGCCCTCGTTGGATACCAGATCAATAGGATCTCTTGTATGCCAGTCGAGGCTTATCTCATAGCAAGCAGGACAGAGTGGTCATTCGCGATGATGACAAAAACAGAAGAGTGACGATGCGAAGCGTGAAGAGACGGCTTCGTAGGAAAACCACTTTGCTGCAGAAGCAAAGTGCAACAGCGCGGAACGAGCAAAAAAACAGAGAGACAGACAGGAAGGGGTACTACTGGATGGAGTAGTAGTAGAGTTGCGACAGGGCGTGCGAGTGCTGCAAGGTGACGCTGCGGAAATCAAACAACGTTTGTGTCGTTGTGGGTGGTTGTGCAAGGTCGGAGGCTGAGGTTAGGTGCGAGCGGGTGCCCTTGCATTCTTGTTTAAAAGACGGGCACAGACCTGTGACTACGTCGTGGATTATGCTCTGACCATATCTTAAATGTGCAATCCAATACTTTGGGACGTGGGAGGCGATCGCCACAGAACGACCGACGGCGTTAGGGCGTTCCGTAGGGGACCTCGGGCGTGTCTGGTGAGCGTGAAGCTGCAACGCGTGTCATCCCAGCGGCGACTGCACACCGCTAGTCAGCAGCGACAGCAATTAACAGACCTCAGACGGTAAACGCGGAGCCGCAGTAGCGCTGTCTCGCTCGCCAGACACGGTATCCGACGATGTCGTGAGGGAGCAGAATGCAGCAGATGTGCAGGCCCAGCACGCCGAGACCGTGTGCAGCCACCCGTGATTGGCTGCAGCACCGGGGAGCGCATCACGGCCGCCTCACTTATTGAAAGTAGGGCGAGCATTTGGCATCCGCGCTGCTATCCGGGGGGATGAAAAGAAAATCCGGTCCCAGTCCTGTGTCGCTGTCCTCGACGCGACTGACCCAGTCTGACCGGACGCTGCATGCAGCACACATCCATGGACTGCGATGGCAAGCAGACGCGTCGCACGTCGTGTCCAGCTTCTAGACAGTCGACCCACCGACGTCAGTCGTGTTCCTGGCCCCTTCGATGCCATCATGAGTCGTCCACAAGTGCGATCGTCGGACGTCCTGGCGTGCGGGCGCGGGATCCAAAGGCGACTGAAACGCAACCGCTTCATCTAGCAGCCTTGCCGCTCCGACAAACTGCCGAGTGCCCAAGGACCGACTCGTTCAGAAGACCTGTCCGGTTCGTGTGTCGCAGATCGTGATGGGCAAAAGCAGAGCAGCCTCTCATGGTATGACAGATAAGCGACGGCTGGTGACGGGCGGACAACGGAGGGGCTGCTAGTAAGGAGGGCCCTGGGTGTGGAGAGGGCTGGTCGTATATCACATCGCGGGTGTGAGGCGATCTATACCGCGTGCAGCGAGTCTGGGTGGGACCAAGAGCATCTAGAAAAACGGGAGCATGGAGGGCCCCATTTATCTATAATATAGTAGGGCTGGAGACGCCCGTGTGGTTCTGAGGCAGAACCGCGCCTGCTGCTGCGCTTAGGAAGTCGCGATGTCACACGACGCACTCTCGTTGGGTCGGACTAATTATCCCTCTCGCCCGGCGCACGCTGAGTGGTTGTCGCTCTGATGGTCAAAGGACTTGAACATGTTCGCAGACATCCTCCGCCCGTCGTGTGGTGTTTTGTTGATAATGCAGGTCCCGACGTAAGCGCAAGGAAGGCTCGTTGGTAGTGTAGTATCCTGGAAGATCATTTCGCCATCGTCAGGCACCACTCCAAAGTGCCGAACAGCCATCATGCCTCACTTCGACTCTACATCCCGGTCCAGTCACGTCGACACGTAAACCTCCCAAACCCCGCGTTGCGTTGCGATTATGAGGGAAAAAGTTTCTCAACAGCGACAACGTGTCGTCTTGCGTCAGCTTCACTACGACAACACAGTGATTAGAAACGACGAAGCAAGCCACTTCATGGGGTATTCATGGGATATCCACGGACATGTTCCTCGTTATGACCTCGTTCTTGGTCATCTTTGAAGAGTTTTCAGTTTGACAAAACATGTCAAAACTAGGTGTATTGCGATCATCCCGTCCCCAATGGACGACCCCAATAACGAGCACGAGATACGATCACGCCATAGTCTGGATCAGGTGTGCACATTCTTCTTTCATGCGTCTCTGGGTGTTTCCTGCTTCAATAACCAGCGCGAAACATGATCATGCCCCAGATTTGAGTCAACGGCGCACACTTTTCCTTCGTCATCTCCCAAAAGTTGCCACTTCAGTGATCAGTGCGAGACAAGACTGAGCTCGGTATGAGTCAACGACGCGTACCATACTACTTTTCGTTCGAGAATCTTTCCACACGTAGGATCTATCATCCACCCCAACCCAAGACTTTTCCCGTCTTCTGCTTCTGTCAATCTACCCGCCCTATCGCATCTTCCTCGTCCACTCCGCCTCATTCCTTCTCACTCCCCCTCCAATCCTCCTTCCTAATCCACCAACTTCATCCATCTCTCTTACCCCTCCCACCTAACAAACCTCCCCCTCCCACCATCCCCCCTCCCTCCCATTTCTCTCTCCCTCTCCCTCCTCACCCTAACCCTCTCCTCCCTCACCCCCTCCCTCCCACACTGCCTACACCAGCTACACTCGCCCTCAACCCACATCGTCTGGCTCAGCCTCGCGCCCACGGGACACGCTCTGACGGGATTGAGCGAGCGAGCGTAGGGACACAGGCGGATGTATGGAGACGAGGGGGCTGGAGGACAGGCGCAATGAGGGTGAGTTGTGAAGGTTATGATACACATGTGAGGCTACACACTCGTTGGGTGTTGGCCTGGGGTTGGGGGTAGGGTGTTGTTGGTGATTATTGGGGTGTGTTGGTACGTGATACTTGGTAGGTATGGTGATATGTTGGTGCTCGAATATACGCATGTACCACCTCTCCCTCAAAACCAGAACACCGTATCGACCGTGCTGTGCGTGATGACTCCTCCTTCTCCGTCCGTCCGTCGTAGATAAGATGGGAATCCAATCTTGGGGTTAGCGTATGCCACTTTCACTCAAGTCGGGTACATATCTTCTCCATGTATACATGAACATAGCAATCCATCGTTCTTTCAACACTGCCACAATACTTCACTTCAATCAAAGATACGCGAAAGAACAAGCCAACGATTGTCTGGTGTAACAAGCACAGCACACCACTCGTTTGGCCAGTTCCCAATCATTGTCGTTTGACCCCAACAACGACAGCGACAGCAAAGCAGGCATTGCGACTTCGCCGTTCATCGGCATCGTCGGAAGTATGTGTAGGCGCAGTCGCTGAATCTTGACGGACTGTAGATAAGTCATCTCCAACCACCTGGTAAACTAGCATAGTTCAGATAAAAATAGAAATGGAGTTTAGTAGCACAGAGCAAGGCAGAGCAAAACGGAAGAACGGGGCTGAGCCAGTCTTCCATAACAAGGAAAATAAGTATTATGATAATGTACGTTTTTCATCGTGCAACGGCTTTCCCATCTAGCCACGTATACACATGCCGTCGCACAAGCAACCTAATCCGCAAGCGTTGCTTGCCCGCTTGCTAGGTCCAGCGGGTAAACCATGAACATCGATTCGACAACCGCTTCAGGCAGACGTTTGCCTCCGGTTCGAAAGCCCTAGTATAGATACCGATTCACAGCATCCTAAGCCGCAGTATCCATAGCCGGCTCGCTCTTCGTCTGTTTACCCGTACGACCACGGGTGACTTCCTGTTGCTGCTGCTCTCCTTTATGTTCTTTATGTTGGGGACTCCTAGCTTCCTGTTCGTCGGAGCTGTCGTCGATGGGGGATTGCGGGCGGCTGTCGTTTAGGTTGCGACGGGAGCGTGCCATCTAAGTATCTTGTTAGTAAACCATCCTCACACTTGTACGCATTCCCAAGCTATGAAGCAGGATGGGGTATGGAGATGGAGAAAACGTACCCAAGACCTCACACCACCAATCAAACCCAAATTATACCCAGCGGCAAACTCGCTACTCTCCCTCGTATTATTCGCCCTGGGAATATCGAGGTGACTGAGTCGCGAAATCGCAGAAGGAGAACGAGCAACGGTCGCTGCTTCCATGGTTTCCGCCTGCGACTGCTCGCGCGTGGGTGTGCGGGCGGGGCTTGCAGGCCGGCTCGATTGCCAGAATTGGCGGAAGTCTTTGCTGAGTTCCTGGCCGGTTGTTGTCCAGTTTGCTTTGATGCTGTCGCGCAGCTCGGCCATGGTGCGCTTGACGTCGAGCTCGTTCTTCTTGAGCCAGGAGACGTTGAGTTCTTTGCGGGACGTGCCGCGTTTGAGTTGGCGGTCGATGTACTGGTCGTAGTCGCGGACGATTCTGGGGTGTGTTAATATAGCATGGGGGGATTAAGGGCGGAGAGACTTACTTTGTGATGATACCCGTTGTGCTGAGACCCTCAGTTCTTTGGGTGACGAGGAACATGCCTCGCTCCTTGATCGGACCGTAGATATCGTCACCCTCGTCTGCGCCGTAGGGAAGGTCGTCGTGGGCGACGTAGTCAATGTTGTGCTTCAACAGGAACTCGGCGGTCACGATCCACGGGCAGTCCTCAATGACCTCGTCGACCCATTTGCAATGGCGCACACTCTCAGCACGCTCTCGCGCCGACAAAACGGTAAGACCCTTGCGCTTGTGTGTCTCCTTGTTGCCAGTAACGCCAACTATAAGCTGGACGTTGGGGAAGGCCGTCTTGGCCTGCTGGAGGGCGCGCATGTGTCCAATGTGGAAGAGGTCGAAAACACCGTCTGCGTATATCCTGACCGGGCGTCCCTCTGGCGGCGGGTTCGTCTTGTAGCCTACGGGGTCGACGAGACCAGCTTTGGGCGGAGGCTCCATGCGCATGCTGCCGGCCTCACCACCCTCGCCATGGTCGTCGCCGGCGAGCGATGACGTGCGCCGGCTCTTCTTGCTCGCGCGCTCATCCTCGTCGGTATCCTCGTCGCCGTGGGCGCTCTTAACGCGGACCCGCTTGGTGGTGGTGCCATTAGCATCGGCCTGGCGCTCCTTCTTGGACGCGACGGCCTGGAGAACAGGGTCCTCGGCACCCTCGTCCGAGGCGTCGCGCGATGAGGGCTGCACAGCGTCCATGGCGTCTTTCTTGACCGAAGATATAGTGGTGGACCGCTTTCGTTTTGGCGGCATAGGCGTGGGTGGAGGCAATTACGGACAATTACACTGCACGTGCAAACTCAAAAACTATGTTGAGAGGGCGGAGTGGTGTGTAGGTGGGAGAGTAGGAGTAGGCGTCGGGTGCGCAATGCCCAGATATGGGGGAACACGCGGGTGATAACGGTGTCGGTCGGGGGAATTATGCGCAAGCGCCAATTAGATGGGTGAGGAAGTGACGACGGCCTTGCACAGCATCGCAGACGCACACAGCAGAGACGGTGAGACAGTAGACACAGTAGATAGACGGTGACGGCGTGGCTAGTATAATGTTGGACACGCGTAGATTGCGTCTAGCTGCCGCTCCGTAAATTCTCGCGCTTCCTTGAATCCTGATCTGATCGGCACCTTGGCATGACGCCAGTCCGCCCAACGCTCCCTGCGCCACACGCTCTTGACGCGAGCGGACTGGTTGAGAGCTTCAACATGGCCCACGTGTGGCATTTCCCATCCTGATTCCTCGCATTTGCATCATTCGCATGTGACAGGGGCTGCCAACTTCTGGACCCTGCTCTTTTACCTCTGAGAATGTGTCATCACCAAATGTATACAATGGACAAAGGAAGGTCAACATACTCAGAGATCGAGGCCACTTTGCACTGGAACAGACGTAGTTGTAGTCATGATACCCGCAAGGGCAGATATCAAAGGAACAGACCATCAAAAAAGCGAACGGCACATATGAAGCTTGATTTTATAGATGTACTTCACGAGCACCATGGATGGGATCAGGTATTCCCTCCATTGACTTCATCTGTTTGTGAAGCTCACGCCTCATCCAACACCCAAACCCTCACCTCCCCATCATCCCCCGTCGTAAGCACAACCTCCTCCTCCTCACTCCTCCTCCCCTTATCCGCCCTCTTCGCCCAACAAACATGGTTAATCTCGAACACATCATGACCAGAGAACAATTCCGCAACAACCACCCACTCCGTCAATCCCTGTTCCTGTGCGCCATCAACCTCCATCTCCTCCCCACCAGCCTGTCCCCTCCACCTCTCCTCATAAACAATAACCTTACCATCACTCCCCGCACTAACAATCCTACCCGTCCTGCGACTCCAAGAAACCGAATAAATAGCGCGTTCGTGAACCCGTGGCAGAACAGCGTCTTGATACCACTCCTCGTCGATAGCCGCCGAGCGGATGATACTAGGGACGCCCGTCTTGTTACTCGCGTTGTCGTCCCCTTCTTTCGCTTTCCTTCGCCATATCCTTACTGTGCAGTCGTCTGAGCAAGTCGCGAGTCTAGGGCCCGATCGTTCCAACTCCTTGATATACTCCGATCGCTGCTGTTGTGATGCGTCCGATGTACTGGTGGTGGATGTGTCCTTCCTCCAATCCCTCCCCGCCATCCCACCCCCCTCAAACTCCGCCCACCAAACCGTCTTCGCATGCCCATCAATCATACTCACCTGCACCCAATCATCCGCATCCTCCTTGTACAACCTAACCGTATCATCGTAACTCGTAGACACTAACAAATCTTCTTCCGGGTGCCACGCCACGCTCTTGACATCACCATCATGTTCCTGCAGCACAGCCACAGTTTCAAAGTTATCGTCTTCGAGCTCCTCCCATATCCACACGCTCTTGTCGCGGGAGCACGTCGCTAGGTATTGGCCAGAGGGACTCCACGCGAGGCATTTGATTTCGGATTCGTGGCCGTCGAGGATGCAGGAGAATTGGTAGTCGTCTGCTTCGTCGCGTTCGTTGTCGGAGTCGTCTTCTGCGCTGCCTACGCGTCTTGATGTAAAATCATTCTCCATTCCACCGCTACCACCCTCCTCCCGACGCCATATCCCAGCACTAGAATCAAAACTCCCAGTCGCCAACACACTCTGCCCGCGCGTATTTGGTTTCCAAGATACAGTCCGTACGCTGCGCTTATGCCCACCCGTTATAGAATGTAGAAGCGTGAAGGAGGTTAAGCTGTAGACGCGGACGCTGCGGTCGGAGCACGCGGTTGCGACGATGGGGAGGGATGGGTGCGGCGCAGATTGCCAGGTTCGCGAGTTGGAGGGTGGTGTGAGGGTCGCGAGAGGGGTGAGCTTGTGGGTTGGTGTGGTGGTGGTGGTGGTGGTGGTGGGCGAAGACATTGTGGAGGGGCCGCGAGGGCGGGCTGGTCGCGACGGGTGGAAGGCGATTGCGGTGGGGTTGTTGGAGGTTCCAATGGGACCAGGAATGGAAGTATCCTGTAAGAGGGCGTGCGCACTAGCTGATCTTTGGTAGTGGCTTGCAGCCGGAGTTGAGTCAATGTTTTTGGGGCAGTTCGCGCGTGGGGCATAGAAAGTTCAGATGAGCGTCATTCGCCAAGCCTCCCACCATTGCGGGCCCGTCTGCGTTATCGGACCCCTCTGGCCTGCACATGTGCTTCATCTTGTCTTTGTTCAAATACATCTTCCTTATTCTTCTTCATACATGATATACATATTACAGGCTTTACACTTTTTTGTCAAAGCCCCGAAGCAGCTCCCAGATCCCAAACGCCTTCCCATGAATCGTGAATGTCCCTCGTTGTGTCATCGCATATCATTATGAAGGGTATTCCAATGCCGACAACCTCAACGCCAGAAATGCTGCAAAAGAAACAAGTGTTGAAAAGACACCATCTCATCGATAAACGGTGTCTACTTCCGGATACCATGGTAGCCTGGCGGGCGAATCGCGTGCGGGTCACGGAACGCAGTCGTAATGGACATGAGCCGGTCTGCCAACGTCTGTTGCTCCGTCTCCGCCATACCAACATTAGCGCGAACACCAAGATCGTGGAGCTCTACATTCGCGCCCGCCTTGGTTTCGTCCACATGGATGTTCTGGGTCGAAGTCACCATGATGCCTCCCCATGGATGCGACGAAGGCTCAGCTTGGGAATGCGTGGTGCAGTTGACCAGACCCTTCTCCGAACACGTGTCTGCTTGCTGCCAGCTCAGCTCTGTTGAGTTTGATCGCTTCGAACGTAAACCGCGAGTCCATTTGCCGCCGCGGCTGCTGGGTGGCATCTTCGTCATGGAGGGTACACATCGGAGACTGCTAAATTCCTTGTGGTTCTTTTGCGCCAGTATCGCGTGGTCGGCACATCCTGGCTGTGACCTCAGGTACGTTTGGAAGAAGGAGAGTGGAATCGTCTTCAGTGTCAGGCTTTGCAGCGATTGCACGTAAATCTCCTTGATGCCGCAGAAAGCAAAAAGCGTGGCCTGGCTGGACTCGGTCTGACCGTGCATCATGTCAATCTGCTGCGCTGAGAATACTGAACGATGAAGAGTTTCTTCGGGACAGTCTCGTAGGAGTTCCATGATTCTGTTGCGGAACTTATCGAGGAAAAGATCGTCCTCTGAGTCAGTCGCAGTCCGCTTGTTGATGCGCACCAAACAGTCGTCCAGACTGCAACCGTTGAAGGTGGTGAGGAGATTCAGCTGGCGACTGTCCAGCTCGTCGCTGCTCAGCTTCACCATCGGGATGCGGCCAGGTGTAGCTCGCGGTACGATGACGTCCAGGCCTCTCATACCGGGCTTCGGTTGTACGAGAAAGGATCCAATGTAGGTGCCTTTCTTGGGAAGGGATAGCTGCCTCTCGCTGAAAGCTTGTAGGCGTCCAACGAGGTTCTCGAGATCATCGCGCGGTATCTGCAGGCTGCGGGCCAGATGATCGCTGACCTGCTCGACACCTGCGAATCCGTATCCAAGGTTGTGTAGCCGATGTGCCTCGGTGGTGTCGACCTTCCTTGTGAGTACAAGCATCTGTCCTCTTCCGAAAAGGATAGGATTAACAGCTCCAGCTTCCAGGTCCTTTGTCGCTACGTCCGCAGCCACGATGGTCTTGTTGCCGTAGTTGCCTGTCCAGATTGCGCGATTCATCACCGTACCCGTTGTCAAGACCTCCTCATAAAGATTTCCAAGATTCTGCAGGCTCGTGTCGAGTGTCTGCGCAATCTCGTGCGCTGTGACACAAAACAGCTCCCGAAATGTAGCCGAGTAGCTGATATCGTCATCGGCTTCCAGAGACGATCGGCTGTTGCTTCCATGAGTAGGCGCTTGGAGGTACCCTGTCGCTTGTAGATGCTCTCGCATCGTCGGGATGAGATCGGAAATGCCGGTCCAGTTGCGAGATACCCTGAAGATCCACTGGAACACAGGATGCGATGTGTTAAATTCGTCGTCAAATGTTCTTTGGTGGAACTGGTGGGTGATGGTCTGACATGGCATCAGTCCGCTTTGACTGACGAGCAGTCTTCCTTCGGGGTCGAACGTGGCGATGGCAAGAACGACCTGTTGAGCTCGGTTCTTCTCCAATCGACGCTGACGCTGCTTGATGAAGCCGAGAAGGAAGCATACAGCACACGCACTCAGGCACTAGTTCTCAGTTAGCTATGTGCTTCGTCCGCAAAGTGGGTGACTTACAAGACAAAGAGAGATGATGAGGTTAGTGTTCCTCTCTTGGCCAGGTCCGTCGTGGTAGCCGCGGATCTCATACCAGGTTCCAGCTGCGGCAGTCCAGTGCATTCCGCAGACGGCCAAAGCGAGTACGATGGCCACAATGATTCGTCGCCAGACGTTGTTCATCCAATGCTTGTTCCAGTGGAAGAACAGACTGAACGAGATGAGACAAGCGCCCACAGCGATTGATGCGGCTCCAACGACGTGTGGCCAGCTTAGGATGATGCGGTAGTTGGTAGTGCCGTTGTTTCCCAGGTAATGCATTTCTGTGACAGCCGCTCCTCCGCAGACGCCGCACACGCCCAGTGATGCGAACCGAACGAGAGATCCTTTGCTTCCTTTGTAGAACTTATCCGCCGCTGATAGTCCCAGGAACATGACGACCACCGGTAGGACAGCCGATACAGCGGTGTAAGTCGAACTGTAGTAGAGTTGAATCTCTTCTTCTCCGTCACCGAGCACGATCGCCCTGTTGCCGACGAAATGCATACACCAGATAGCCACCAGTCCGAACGAAACTGCGCAGCCTCCTACTTGTACCCTAAAATGGTGTTAGTGGTTGTCGTACAGCAATATAAGCTTAGAACATACCACGACCGCCATCCTGCTCCTGAAACTCGCCGATGTAGTAGCTCTACAGTCGTGAAAGCACCGATTAGGCTGACGATGTATGAACCCACAATGAGTGCAGGGAGAAACGATATCGCGGGCCTGCTCCCCAGCGGGTACTTGACCTCGATCTCCGGGTTCAACATTGCGAAGCAGTTGTTGACTAAGGGTGTTGAGATGTGTAGTACTCTCGTAAGGCTGATGATGCGCCTCACATGTACTTCTCAAGCTGTGAAACCTGCGCTCTGCTCGTTAGTTATGTTTGTTGCATTGTGTCAACGAGAGAGATTACTCACTACCTACGTTTACAGAAGAGGAGTGAAGTGAGATGAAGTCAGCAGAGCGGAACCGCACCGGTATAATCGCCCTGGATGTGTTTCTTGGATGAAGCTCGTCACAGTCAAGTGGTTTGCATCATACACCGCAGATCGACGCAGGAAGGCGATTTCGGTGTTTCGTTTTGAGGATCCAAGTAAGGAGGTGACCAGCGTCTTGTAAGCTAATGTCTTTTCGGGGTCCAATCGCGCGTATGCGGAGAGATGTGTATATGTAGGTTCTCCTCGCAGCAGTCAAAACTTAGAAGTCGATCGGAGGGGTAGCCGCTGAAAAGAGGGTTCTGCGCGTTTGTACCTGAACTCGCGCCGGTGGGTAGTGTCCCCTTCTAGACGTCCGCTGAAGTGGAGGACATAGTTTGCGCCTGATTAGTCTGGTGCGGGAGGCATGAGAGCGACACCCCGTCGCACGAAGTCTCCACACTCGTCTGCTGGGACCGATCACATAGCTCCGCCCTCTCCATGCCGAGATGCCCATGGCGCCAATCCAGTTTTCCACGCCACAGCTCTGGCCCCTTCATGCAAACGACCTTGATACGGCTTGGGCCTATTAGCCTAGGTGTAGTGGCTTCGCGGCGTGGCCTCGAGTAATTTCAAAGTTCACGAATCCCGTTCGGCCTGACCTTCTAGCCACTCGCGCAGCGAACGCGGCCCGCTAGTCATGCATCTGTCCCCAACAGGCCGTGGTCTCCTGCTGTGTTACAAACGTGGCTGACGGATCTCCGAAGAACCGTGCTTTCCCTACGAATACGTGCGAGCGTAGAATTCGTGAGCGGGATGTGAATTGCAAGCGACGAACAACGACCGCGGACTGCACGGCCAGAGGCGAGTGTCATGCGGCCTAGAATGGGGCCAGATGTCATCGCGAAGCTAGCGTGCAGACTCAACTCTGGTACCTTGGCCGACTGATCCCGGGTATTAAGACATATGGTACGGGTGGTAATTTGAGTTCATTCAGAACGCCAACACGGCAACGAGGGCGTCTCCGCGGGGAGGAAGCTGACGCTGATGAAGCGTGATTTGGCCAGGATGGGCATGTCGCACACGCTCTTGGCATGTTCCGCATATCCAGAGCATCGGTACAACAACCATTAATTGACTGAAACATTGTCAGTCTCCACCATGATGTAAGGTGATGGATCTTCGCAAGGCACCTTCTCATCTCGAAGCGCCCTGCCATTCTAATGGTTCTGCGCAAGCGACGAACGCCGCGCTCCAGGGCCTCGATTGCAGGGACTGCCGTGCCGTGTATATCAAAGAAGACTATACCATTAGCATGACAACAGCCAGCCATGTTCAAACCCAGGAGGCGGCTGCGAAATGCAAAGCTTTCAACCCGATGGCCCGTTCGAGTGGTAGACTCGGAAGAGCCGACTTGACATGTGTCGCCATGCTCGCAAACCTGCCGTTGGTACGACGGCAC